ATGATATTTCAAAATAACAATTTTTTAATTAAATTTTGGACTATTATGATTTGAATGTAATTAAAATTTTGGACTGTTATGACTTGAATGCAATTGCAATTGCTTCGATTACTTTACAATTCAAATCATGGTTGGGCAGTTTCATTTTTTTTAATTAAAAATGGCTTTTATAAAGGTTGGGCAGTTTCAATCTTAATAATTAAAAAAATGGCTGTTACATGTAAGAGGCAAGTCTAAAAGGGGGTGTTTTATTCTCCTTTAGGCAGATACAATTTTCCTACTTGAGATAATTCATTTTGCCTCTACATTTTTATAACTTCCAGCTCTCCTTCACCACTTCTATTTTATCTTATACTGTTCTAAATCTCTATTAGAGTGTGCACTATAAAAGGAGATACGTCATTGCATCCTGGAGGTCAATTCGCTGTTTAGCCTTTTTGCACCATGAAGATTCTTCCAGTAGGGGCGGAATTTTGATCTTAAGGACATTATTTTTGCACAACAAAACAACAGCAGTAAAACAATGGAAGAACAGCAACAAGACAGCAAAAGAACAACAATAAGATAGCAGAAAAATAGCAGCAAGAATAGTAGGAAAACAGCAGCAAAATATAACGATACAGCAGTGAAACAGCAGCAAAACAACAACGATGTAGCAGCGTCAAGGCGTGCATAAGCACTGTCCTTAAGATCAGAATTCCGCCTATACTGAAAGAATCTTCGTGGTGCAAAAAGGTTTAACAGCGAACTGACCTCCAGGATACAATGACAAATCTCTTTTTAGAGTGCACTCTCTAAGAGAGATTTAGAAAAATATAAGGAAAAGTAACAGTGGTGAAGGAGAGCTGAAAAGTTAAAAAACACATAGGAAACAAGGATTTTTCAAGTGAAAAATTGTGTTCTTCAAATGAGAAAACCACCATTTTTTATACTTGAAAATCTACCGGTTTTCCCTTAACTCAGTCTTGCTCTAACCAAAGTCAATCAATTGCTTTTAAAACCATAATTGCGCAAGAATGATTTGAATTGCAATAACTTGGAACAATTTAATTGCTTTTAATACATAACAGTCCAAAAAGCAATTAAAATATTCAACTGCTTTTAACATATAACAGTTCAAACCTTGACGCTGCTGCCTTGCTGCTATTTCGCTGCTGTATTTGTTGCTGTTTTACTGTTGTATTATTGCTGTTTTGTTGCTGTCTCTCTGCTATTCTTACTGTTGTTTTCCTGCTATCTTCTTACTATTTTCCTGCTGTTTCACTACTGTTCTTTTGCTGTTTCGTTGCTGTCTCTCTGTTGTTTTTCCTGCGGTTCTCTTGCTATTTTCCTGCTGTTATTCTGCTGTTTCGTTACTGTTTTTTCACTGGTTTGTTGCTGCTGTTTTGCTGCCAATTTTATTATTAAATTCCAGCATTTGGTTTACCACAAACACGGCAACTACGTCTACTCTCATTAGCTCTATTGTCCATTCTCATGAACTGAAATTTCAAAGTAGCATGGAGATATATTATCATAATATTTTTTTCTATCAGATTCTAAACAAATGGGAAGAGAAGAAGACTCAGATATATACTCTGAGTCTGAGATACGATAGGATACATGGTTTGGAGAAGATACGAAGTTTTGAAATCTGTTGATTGGTTCATCCAAACAACAATATATCTAGCCATGGATTCCAGTGTGAAGTTACAGAGCTTTAGAAGATCAGGAAAGCGTTTTATGAGAGAGTGGACGAGTCACAGAAAAGAGGATACTTCTTGTTTGTTCCCGAATGATTTGGAAAGTCAAGCAAATGAATCCTCAGTTTTATATCTATGAATTGGAATAATTAGTTGACGCCAAGGGTGATGACCATAAAGGAAAAGCTTAAACGAATCCTTATCAAGAAATTCAGGAAATGTTCAATTTAATGTTCCTGATTGTAATTGTGAAATTGAGTGCCATGTTATAGCTACCACCAAATGAATTGCAAATTCCATTGAGAGATTTCGTGTCTTTGGACTAGTTGTGGTCCTTGTGGAGAGCTTAGAGGAAACAGTAATATTACACGTACAAATTAATCTTACAAATAATTCTATATAAAGTGATGTGGCAAAAATTGAATGAAGGAGTGGATAATGAATATGATGAGTTTGACTTTTTGTATTCACTCTTCCATTCATTTTCTACCACGTCACTTTGTATAAAAAAATTTGTAAGATTTCTTTGTATGAAAAATATTATTGTAGAGGAAATACAAACCAATCTATTAAAAAATACAAAAATGTTAGAGGTACAAAGAAATTTACAAAGACTTCTAGTTAACAGTTTCTAAAACAAGGGGATAAAATTATCCTTATGTTTAGCGTAACTATATATATTTGTATATACAATAAGAGTAAACAACTTTTTCCCATCCAAATAATGACTTAATGACGTTTTCTTATTTACGGACTTTTAAACTATCACTTTACTACCCAAATTTATATTTTATTTTCAATTTATCATCATTGCGACCCCACACCACCACCATTTTCTTCCCCAATTATTGCTCACCAAAACCCCTCAAACACTACTCCCATCGACCCCATTAATCATTATCAATTGAGCAATTAGGGTTTGCGCAACCACTCCTCTCAAGTCAAATTCCGATCAATCCCAACCACTAAAATTCAACGCTTCACTACCAAAACACTCATCGGCCTTCTCTCTTCAAAAACCCCAATGGCCTAGACCGAGTTTGCTCTCTGTTCGCAACCGAAATATAAATTTGAGTAATAAAATAATATTTTAAAAGTCTGTAGGTGGGAAAGTGTCATTAAGTCATTATTTGGGTGAGAAGAAGTCTTTAAATCTATATATTATAATTAGAAAAATATGTAAGTACAGTATATGTATTGGCCAAATGGAAAAGTGTTATTAAGTCATTATTTTGGTGGGAAGAAGTCTTTAAATTTATATATAATAATTAGAAAAATATGCAAGTATATGTATGGGCCAAAGAACATCCTCCCACCCAAAGTTTGCCTCAAGACAATGCACTACCCAAAAAGTTTAAAAATGACAATTACCCACTTTTTGTGAGGGTTTGTTAGTGAATTATGTTATCTGACGTTTACATTAACCGTAAAGATGAAAATACCTTAATTGTTTGACTTATTATATTATTTTATTAATTTATGTTATGTCAGCAAAGTCAATTACTTATATACCCATTCTCTGTAAATTAAATTACTAATATGCCATCAAATATTTATGAGATGTAACTTACCCATTTGTTCCTTTTATTTTGAAATATTGAAGTTACCATTGAGATTTATAAAAATTTGTAACATTTAAAATTACCAATTTGTCCCTCTCTTGGTTTGATATTTGTCTCAAAGTGAGAATTGCCATTGGTATGACCCAAAAAAATCAGGGTTTTTTCTTTATCTCCATACCACAACAAAAAAAAATAAAAAAAAAGATAAATCACAATTGCAGGTGAAGAGGAAGTAAAGAAGAAAATTAACTAACTATTGGAATCGGCCAAATCGTGGCAAAAGAATGCAGTTGTTTTGTGATCTCACCAGATCTGCCACGATTTGACCTTGAACCGCCAATCTAGCCCATATTATGGCAGACACCCCAGGTTGTGCCGGATCTAGAGCAACAAATCCGCCACGATGCGATCTGGTGCTCTAAATGGTAACCACTAACCAAACAGATCGCAATCGTCGAATTTGTTCCTAACAATTGTGATGTTTTGTTATGACTTTGATCCCAAATTTTTTTTTTTTTTATTTAACCAAATCCAAGATAGAAGAAGAAAGAGAAAAATAAAGAGATGGAAGGAAAAGAGAGGGATGAAAAAAGAGAGGAGGACGTGAAGAAACATAAAAAAGAAAGAGAAGAGAATGGAGATAAAATATGAGTAATCCTATACTTACAACTGAGTCATATAATCAAGCATACAACTAAACAAAAAACACAAGACAAAGTAGTTATTTTACATGAATTTTGTAAAAATTTTGTCTGATTATATGACTCAATTATAAGCATAACAATATAACATTATTCATAAAATATATAGAAAGGAGAAAAAAAAATAACTAGGAAGAAAAAAAAAAGATCAGGTTTTCATATTTTATATTTTAGATTTTTTTAATTTATATTATTTTATTCAAATAGAATTCATTAATAAGAGTAATGCTATAATCATCGAAAATAACACACCGAATTTATACACTATATGACGTAATATAATCCTAATCATCGATTAATATTAAGTAATAATTAATCGATAATCAAGATTATGTCATATTATTTGGTGTACTACTTTTGATAACTATATTATTTTTTTATTGATAACAGTCTTGCAAAAAATGGATATTTACCATTTTCAAGCTTGTTGGGTATAAAATTGTCTTTGAGGCAAATTTGGGTGAGAGAATGCGTTCGGCGGCTTCGACTTATATATTTGTATATATTTATGGCCTATGAGTGACAACAACTTACGACCCATTGACCATGTACCACACATTCTTACCCAATCTTATCGGGTCAAAAGATCCAATTTAAAACGGGTCCCAATGTCAACGAATTTCTCAATGCGTAAATGCTATTTTTGATTCTTTATGAACGTCATGCCAAAATATTTAACAATTTGAGACAAACAAAACCGATTAATCTATGCACATGCCATGAATCATATTTTACAAATTATGCCAACCACTCTGTATTAAATAACAATATTTTCTAGTCCATTATATAATATATAGTTTATAAATATTCGACATATAAATTTTATATACAAATTATAGACCTATGTAATTTGTAATTCATATAAAAATGATGCTTTTATTAGGTGAAAAATTGTTTAATAATGTAAATTGAGTAATAACTTAATTTACACAAAATAACTTTTAATTTAATATATTTTAAACTAGAAAAATCATATAAAAAAGTTCTTTTATAACAAAAGGATATTAATTGGCCCGAAATTAGAATTTGGAATCTATTCTTGACAACAAAAAAGCAGAAAACAAAAACAAAACCAAAAAAAAAAATATTTACTCTTATCACTTGATAAAGTGTGTATTTTTATTTTCTAATTTTTAATATTGCTAATATTTCTGGTTCAATTATTTGTGTGGGTTAAGATCTTCGCCTTGCAATTGGATGAAAATTTACATGGTGGCACCATTAGTATGAAAGCTTTCTCCTGAATCTCTGATTAATTTCATCTTATCATCTCTTCTGTAAGTTCTCTGCGTTTTTTTTTTTTTTTTCAGTTTTGTTCAGCTTATCTTCAGCTATGAAACCCATATTCTTTTGTTGCACTTTTGTTGAATTTCATTTCGATTTTTGCTGAATTTGTTTCATTTATTGATAATATGCGGAACCCAGGTTGCCTTTTATGATATTAGGTTAAAGTTTTGATTTTTATTTGTGGGATATTGATATTTTCTGTGAATGATTTATGAAACCCTTGTTTTAATTGCATTGATTTGGTGTTATAAATTGGAACCCTTCTTGGAAAAGCTTGAAATTTTTTAGCTTTAGATGAGATTTTGAATGTATTTGATTGTGGTTTGTATATTTGTTTGATGAATTGTGTATTTTTATTAGGAGATTTTTGTTCTTGATCTTTAAAGTGATTAAAATTGAAGGAGAGACGTTTGATTATCTCGCAGGATTTTATCAAAACAGTATGGAGTCTAGTGGTGAAGATGCGCTTAGCGCTATAGTTCCTTTGTTGAAACTTCTGTCCCTAACAGTTATTGGATTGATTCTTGCAAATCCAAAAACCAAAATGGTCCCGAGAGCAACATTTAAGCTCTTAAGCAAGCTGGTTTTCGCCCTATTTTTGCCCTGTTTGATATTTACTGAATTGGGTGAAAGCATTAGTCTGGAGAACATTTTTTCTTGGTGGTTTATCCCTGTTAATGTTTTAGTAAGTACGATCTTTGGTTTCTTTCTTGGGTGCTTGGTGGTGATTATATGCCGGCCACCTCCAGAGTTCAATAGGTTTACAATCATCATGACTGCCTTTGGAAATAGTGGTAATCTGTCTTTGGCGATTGTTGGATCTGTTTGTCATACGAAGGATAGTCCTTTTGGACATGGTTGCCATTCTAAAGGGGTGGCGTATGTTTCGTTTGCCCAATGGGTTTCTGTGATTCTTGTATACACGCTTGTTTATCACATGATGGAGCCTCCATTGGAGTATTACGAGGTTGTTGAGGAGGAAGGCGATGTCATTGAGGAACAACCACCTGTTAATGATTTAAGTAGGCCTCTTCTTGTAGAAGCTGAATGGCCAGGCATCGAGGACAAAGCAACTGAACATTCCAAGAAGCCCTCAATTGCTAGGATTTTCACCAACCTCTCAACTCTTTCTCAGACCAATTTTCCAGACGTTGATATCACAGAGGAAGCCACTAGTGTTAGCAGTCCCCGGTCCATTAGGTGTTTGGCCGAACCCAGAGTTGTCAGGAGGTTCAGAATTGTTGCTGAACGAACTCCAATCCAACACATACTTCAACCTCCAACAATAGCTTCTCTCTTGGCTATCATTATCGGGACTGTCCCTCGGCTAAAAGTTTTTTTCTTTGGATATGATGCTCCATTATCTTTCATCACCGACACTTTAGAAATTTTAGGTGGTGCAATGGTGCCTTCTGTGATGCTTATTCTTGGGGGTATGCTTGCAGAGGGACCAAATGAATCTAAACTTGGGCGTCGAACTACAATTGGTATAGTAGTAGCAAGGCTTTTGGTGCTTCCTTTGATAGGAATCGGGATCGTTGCATTAACCGATAAATTGAATATTTTAGTCGAGGGTGATGCGATGTACAGATTTGTGCTTTTGTTGCAGTACACAACACCAAGCGCCATTTTATTGGGAGCAATTGCAAGCTTGAGGGGTTATGCTGTTAAGGAGGCTTCGGCAGTTCTCTTCTGGCAGCATATCTTCGCCCTTTTTTCCCTTTCCGTGTACCTTATCGTCTACTTCAAACTGGTCAAGTATGTTTGAGGTTCGCCCCGCATCTCGATGTTTCGTGTTGATTAGCAATTGCTTAACATGTAAATGCCTTCATATTCTTGCTTTCTACATGTCCATTGAATTCTCTCTCTTGAATGAGATAAACATGTTTTCTAGTATGTTGTACTGTGTTTTGATGATTGAAAGTAAATGATGCTTATTTTGTGGCATTGACGTTCTTAGTCTTTGAGTTCTTAGGTGCTTGGCTACCAAGAAAAAGAGAGAAAGTAAAGGAAAGTTGTGGAGAATTCAAAGAGAATTATAAACAATTTTTTGCTAATTTGGCAAGTTTTATGTGGCCTTTATTAACATTGCTTTTACTATCGAGGAAAAAAAAAAAAAAAAGCTTTAAACGATAAAAGTATATCATGTCATTCATACGCTGATATCAAACCGTATGTGCCTATGCTTTTTGATATCGAATGTCTATCGTCTCACTTAAGACTTTCTCGGATTATTAATCATCATTTTAAGGTGAAATATTAGGCCTTCCAAAGTGTTTTGCTTTCCGATTTTGGGCCTTCCTTCGCTTTATGTAATGGGCCCTAAAACCTGCAACTTACTTTGAATCAAATCCTTATCCTTCATAATTTGCTCGAAAATAAATCAAAGTTAGATTAATGGACCTTGACCTTGAATAACTTGTGATGAAAAAATAAAAATAAAATCAGAATTTAAGTTGAATTATTAATTTCCATAAAATTGTTTAACAAATTAAATGAAATTTATTATTGGTCAAGGCAGCCCCCACAAGTCCAAAGCACAAGTAAATCATGGACTAATTTTACTGAGTCAAATTTAAAAAAATAAAAAAATAAAAAAATTCTTTTCAAACTAAAATTCTTACTTTACTTGTAACTCTTGTCTACCACCTTACCCATAATTTGAATGGTCTTGATTTAATCAAAGATTCAAAGTGGTCAAACCTTAGAACCCATAGACTCGAAGTGGGTCAAACCTTATAACCCACCAAATTTTTTGTTGTGTTCCTTTTTATAAAAATATGACTCAGATAACGTTTTTAAATAATAGTAAATATGAAAAAAGAAACAAATAATGTTTTTACTGATAAATGAACTTCTTTTTTATTCATTAAAATTATTTATAATTATTAAAAAAAAGTCTATTTATCGATAAAAATATAATTTCTTTTGTTTTTCTTTCTATTCTGAAAAACGTAAATGTCGTCTAATATAATACCCCTTAAATAATTATCTAAACAATAATTCTCTCAAAATGTTTTTAAGTTTTTCCAATATTTCATATTTTTTGTTTTTCTTAACCCATTTAAAGGGTTGTACATTAAAATCAAAGCATTTTACCAATTTGTTTGAAATCAAAATGTTTTACCATTTTACATTGAATGGAAAATTCTCTTCCTCTTCTAGCAAGGACCTACACTTTATTCTATTAGTTTAATTTAGAAATTACTTGCGTATATTGAAATTATTTTTCTAGAGGAAACATTAGGTGATATTAAAATTTCACAATTCTGGAAAAATATAGAAATATTTATACATGGGATAAATATTCGTCATTTATTGAGTTCAACTTTATTTCTTAATTTGTGGTATTCGATGTTGAATTTTGAATATATTATAAGAATAGTAGATTTAAACCCAAAACTCTTAAATCTAATGCTATTAAAGAGTGGAGATGTTTGGTTTATATGTCTGTACTATTACATTTATAACATATAAATTAGTCGTGGATCCATTAATCCAATGTTTATTATTGGTAATGTCTGGTTTATGTCGATGATATCACAAAATAGTAATGATCGAATAAGTTAGCATGTGCCTTGGTTAATGTTTTGTTAAATTTGTAAGTTGATGGCATTTAAGTTATACAACACCTTAGCTATTTTGATCTAAGATCTTTAAATGGACGATGCATGTACGTCTATCTTGTTACGACATTCCAACTTTAACATATACAACCCATACACGGGTCATAATTAAATATACATGTATACTAAATGAGAGAAATTCTAAATAATACTAAAAACTCTTGAATGGAATTACTTATGTATATCTATCTGGACCCACCTTTAGGTAGCTCAAATGGTAGGACTAGCTTTGGAACGTATAGTTAAGACGTACGGTCTCAGGTTCGAATCGTCATAACTCCCGAGATTTAAGCGGATGATCATAGCGGTGGGATATTGAACTACTCACCTGCAAGAATTAGTCAAGATGTGTACAAATTGGTCCGAACATCCTGTTTCAAAAAAAAAAAAAAAAAAAATTATCTGCCTCAATTGACCTTACAAACACATCAAACATTTAAGTGAGGAAGTCATCCATGCTCCGTTTTGTCGGCTTCCAAACAAACAAGTGTGTTTCTGATTTTCTGGGCCCAGAAATCTGAGGAAAGTTATATGTCATTTAATTTGGAGTAAACAACATGTTCCCACCCAAGGTTTAGGAAAAACCCAAGTTACTATGCCTGGTTTCATAAATCCCATATTACCACCCTTAAATGAACACCGTGAGTGACTGTTGAGTGCTATTACCCTATTGCCCTTGACAAAACCCACCCGTGGATTCATGAATTTCGACGGCCATTTTGGTTCCTTCCTCACCGGAAAACCCACCAAACCCGGTAGGAATCTATCCCCCAGCACCGTTCAAACTCCCCCAGCCTCCCTTTGACCAAAATTTGGCCCAATTGCACTGGATTTGTGCCACCACCAGTGAGCTCCTCCGCCTTGCGATCGTCGTTTTCTGGGCAAATTGGCCCGATTTCGGCGTTTTTGGAAGGCCTTGACACCACCCAACACATCCCCTAACCTCCCTCATCAAACCCCCTATCATCTCCACCCCTCTACATCGCCAAATTGCCGGCCATTGCTCAGTGGAATCGCGCACTCGTCTTGTCGATTTTCGATCAATTTCGACGACGAAAACCCACCCCGACACCACCTTTTGATCCATCGGCGTGGCCTCTTTAAAACCCCCACCGCCCCAAGCTGTGATTGCTAAAATTTGGTCACCGTGAGGGCCAAGAAGCAGCCATTTGGCTGCTGCTTCTTGGCCCTCGCGGTGGCTAGATTTTGGATGCCACGTGAAGGGCTCGTGGCAGCTGGATTTTACTGCCACAAATCCCTCACGCGGCGGCCAAATTCTGGCCACTGCGAGGGCTTTTTGGCCCACACAAAGGCCAAGTCTGGCAGCCACGAGAGAAGTATTAAAGAAAGGGTGTTTTTGAGAGAAATTTAATATATGGAGGGTCGTTTTGAAATTTTTATTTTTATTTTAGATTTTTTTTGTGGCATAAATGAACATTTTACCCTTTGTCCGAAAAATTAAACGTTTTTCTATTAACTTAAAGGTGGGAATATGAAATTTATGAAACCAGGAGTAGTAACTTAGATTTTTGCTAAACCTTGGGTGGGAATATGTCGTTTACTCTTTAATTTGAGTGTATCTAAAGAACAAAATCATGGGTGATAAAAAGATGGCCCACCACGCATGTTACCTAAATTATAAATTGTGGCGAACATCAATTTGAGTTTCCCGAGAAAAAGTTGCCCAGAAATTTTTTGTCAAATTCCAAGACCCCAAAAGGAGAGTCCTAATTATCTCTCTACATGAACCTCCACTTTCTTAATATTCCTTGAGCCGAAAGAAAGAAAGTTGACTAAATAATAGTTCTTTTAATGGGAGATATATTATCATAAATCATACCTATTTAGGATTATTAATTAATTAAATTATTTGGAACTTTAATTTTGATAATAAAGTTGAGAGAATTCAAAGAGAAATATAAATAATTTTTTGCTAGTTTGGCAAGTTTCATGTGATCTCTTGCAATTAACATTGCTTTTACTATCGAAAAAAAAATTCCCTTAAATGAAAAAAGTATTTCGCTTTTAGCTTTTAAATCGAATGTCAGTTAAAACTTTTTCGGATTACTAAGGCTCCTTTTGGTTTACATATTGGGAAAATTATTCTAGTTTTTCCAAAAAAAATTAACTTTATTTCAGCTATTTTCAAAAAAGTTTTCTAAATTATTCAATTTTCTTTGATCCCCTAAATTTGTTAATTTAATTAGATAGTGCGCCGATATAGCCTTTTTCGGCCAGATTATGGCTGTAGACAGTCATCAATGACGGCCAAGATATGGTCGTCTTTGACGGCCAAATACGTCGATAAGGCAACTCCGGCCACCCTCCAACGGTGGTGGTCGGCTGTCTGTATTTATGAGTGGATTTGAGGGTGTTTTTGTTAACTTTGAGTATTTTATTATAGGGGTGTTTAGTAAATAAATAAACATAGGGGTATTTGTGTTAATTTTCAAAATTCTACATCGTAATACCCACCCACTTTAACTTTTTTTAAAAGACGATTCTAAAAATTATCCAATAATGAATCAAACGGAGCCTAATTATCATGTTAGTGTGAACTGTTGGGCCTCGGAAAGTGTTTCGCTTTCTGATTTTTGGGCCTTTCTTCGCTTATTGGAATGGGCCCTAAAACCTGCAACTTACATTGAATCAAATCCTTATCCTTACCCTTCATAATTTGCTTGAAAAAAAAAAATCGAAGTTAGATTAATGGACCTTGACCCTGAATAACTTGTGCTGAAAAAATAAAATTAAAATCAGAATTCAAGTTGAATTATTAATTTCCATAAAATTGTTAAACAAATGAAATTCATTATTGGTCAAGGCAGCCCACAAGTCCAAAGCACATGTAAATCATGGACTAATTTCACAGAGTCAAATTAAAAAAAAAAAATATATATATATATATATATATCCTTGTCAAACTAAAATTGTTACTTGTAACTCTTGTCCATCACCTTACCCATAATTTGAATGGTCTTGATTTAATCAAAGATTCAAAGTGGTCAAACCTTAGAACCCATAGTTTCGAAGTGGGTCAAACCTTATAACCCACCAAAATTTTTATTGTGTTTCTTTTTATAAAAATATAATTTGTTTAAAAACATTTTATAATAAGGAGTATTGTTATGCCTAAAAAATCAGGAGCTCCAATCAGAGTTCAGAAAGACTTTGCACCGTCCAAGAGCCGCTACGTCACCCCAATACAAAGAGAATACGGGTGTCACCAACTTGGTAGATTCAGGTTTTGTTTGAGTGAATGGGAGGAGC